ACAGTGAAGTACTGGACAGGTGCCGAAAACAAAAAAACATACTCAGTAATATGTTATATCTTTGGCATTACTGGAGAAGTACTCTGTAACCTTGGGTGGCTGGATTTGCGTTCACAGTGACATTAGAATTTCCGTATCGGCAACCATCTGTCAATAGACTGTGTTCGCAAACACAAAAAGACTTACGATATACGGTACGATATACGATAGGCTCTTGCACGTCATCACGGCGTACCCTTATCGGACCGTTTGACGATAGGATTGACGATAGAAAGCATAGTTATCGTCAAGCTTACCGTTAAACCCTGCGAAATAGCAACCGCTCTTGGTGGCGATTTCATCGATTGGAACGGCTGCAGGTGCCAAATCACGAAACTTTTGAGGTATCGGAATAAGTTCGAATGGTTTTTGATTAACAAACGGAGTAAATCAGGAGAAAGATAAAATTAAAACAAGTTTTTTGATACAAAGTGAGGGCAGTTTGTCCAAAAACCAATGGTTTTGCAGCTATTTGAATTTACCATGCAAAGCCTACGGCGTTGTTGGAGTACTCAGCGCGAACTTTTTACTCGAACTCCGTAGACGTCTGTTTTACTTCAAATGTTCATAACAACGCTCACTGTCGCTCAAATCTAACAGCTTTGGTGTCAAAACAATAATTTAAAATTTTAGTTTTCATCGGGTTCACAACTAAAAGCAGTTTAGCAAAAACAGAAGCCCCAAGGTTTACTAAAACTTTTCACGTTTCACTTCGGAGGCAACATTCGACCGTATAACGTTTATCGTTTGTCGGCTATGATGAGAGCGAACACTATAAATTACCGACGACATGCTTACGGTACGGTGCTGCATCGTATCGTCCACCGGACCGTCTATCGGACCGTTGGTGTGTGGCGAACACAATCTAATATTAAATTGTGCATTGTGCAAATCAAATCGCCTAAAAGAACCCGCGAAGCGAACTCTAAGCCGCAAAAAAAACAAAATAAAATCCATCGGGGACGAGAAAGCGATCATCCGTGTTTCCATTACATCTCCCTCAAACCGTTCACATAAATCAATAACTGTCCCACTGAGTAGGAAAACTTTCGTTTGTACGCAGATTTGACTAGTTACGTATCAGCACCGGACTACCGCGGCTGCAGAACCATGAAATTCGAAAAAATAATATAGTAATTCAACTTCATACGATGACGCGCTCAGTCGCCGCGCCAACGCAAAGTAACGTTCGTGCTGCAGTTTGTTTGCGCAACAACGACGATCGCGTCAGCACCGGCGAGCATTTAAAGAGTGCTTATTTGCGATTTATCAGCGAGCTCGTTGAAAGATTAGCTGACGAAGATCTGGCATGCATAAGACGAAGATGATGGGGTCGACTATGGCCTGCAGCTCTATGAGTAAGAAAATCCAGTCCTGGACGATGGCATCCGTGACTGTGGTTAACATCGGCATTACGATCCCGGACGGTGTCCAGCAGATGAACAGGCGTGTCCAGCAGATGAACAGGCTGCCGGTCAGCAGTGTCAGAAGTAAAAAGCTGTTTTTTTCCGGCTTTGCTTCCTGGTTGCTCGATGACGGCGGTGAGGTGTCAACTGAATAAGTTTGACTGCCTGCAAAATTCAACAACGCAGTGGCACCAAAAGGGCGAAATAAGCTGACTGGGCACCACTGCAAATTAATTACAATGACGATTAAATTGATACTATCATCTGTTGATAGTTAAACACACTAACCACAGTCCCTTTCGTATTGTGATAATAGCTGGTACTTAAAACGGAGTAAACTTAGGTGACAATGGCCGTTTTCCCAAATAAAAATATGCTAGAAACAGAATTACACATAGAGGGGTGGTATTTATTTATATAATTGTTATTGTGCTATTCAGAATTTTTTACCGAATAAAACATCAATATCAGCCTTCACCACCCATATGATATGTACAGAATACTTAACAAAGGTCTGTTTGACAATAACATGTGTCTGTTTGACAATTGTATTTAAATTTATATATAACATAAATACATTTTACTCCTATACATGTGTATGTGGTTACATACGTACCTACACATTCACCACCTATATGATGATATCATCTACATCACCCACGGTACCCACCGTAAAACCCGAAATAAACGCCTTCGGCCTTTCTTTTTTCGAGAGCTTCGGGAGACGTGGGCGCTTAAAACCGCAAGGGATGTTTATTACGGCAGGGTGAGCTATTATTTTCAAATGAATAACGCGCTGTGATACTTCAGCTTTGAATATTATAATGAATATATCAACGTATTGATGTATGGATTATGTATCTATCAAAAATCGAAACGATGATTTAGCTAATGTGCCTACTTGGTAGTTGGCTAACATAGCAGCACAACTGATTAACACAGCGGGTGCGCCGAAATTTAATACACGCCCCAGGGCGATAATTTTGGGGTGGAGCGTCTTTGTTATTTCGTGACCCACGGGAGGAACGTTTACAACTGCACGGGGTATCATTAATTTCGGGGGGGGGGGGTCGTTCACATCGGATTTTACGGTATGTCTATGTCGCCTGTATTATCTATATGATATGCACCTGTATGCATTCGCAGACGCTTTCGGCGAATGTAAAAAACCACCGGATACTGCGCCAGCGCAATAAAGAGCGTAACGAAGGACACAGCTTGAAAAATGTACAGCCAGATTTGCTCAGGCAGCACTTGGTAATTAAAATCGCAACCTGCCAGCGTTTCCGGTTGTCGATAATGCAGGACATCCATTATAATTATCGGTACCACAAAGAGATGACCGACTATCCAGCACAGAGCACACAGTACAACGGCGATACGGGTGGTGTGACGTTCACGATACTGCAGCGGGATAAGTATCGCGCAACAGCGACACAACGCGATGGTTGCATGGATAAAAAACTGAATAAAGTTAAGAACCGTACCCGAATACATACGGAACGTACACCAATTGGTTCCCCAGCACCACGCCGTAAAGTTATGATTGACAACTTCCAGCGGCCCAAAGGTAACGGCAAACAGGAAATTTGAGCTTAACAGCGTAACGACATAAACGTGAAATTTCCTGATCATGCGGAAGTTGGCGAAATAGAAAAGCAGTACCACTCCGTTCAGCGCAAAAATCATGACGCAGATGGATAAAGTTCCGATACTGTATGACGACCAAGTCATCAAATTGACGGCTGCAGAACATCTTTCCGTGACATTTTGGGAAGTCGAGCTGTTGTAAGCCGTTACGTTCATGGTTCGGGAAAAGTATGCCTCTTGGAAACCGAAATATTTCTCCCCCAGCACTGATCAAGCTCGTTGGCAAAGCTGCAGCAAAACAGAATCTTGCTGGTTATAGCAACTTTAGGTACGGCTATTAAACATACCTTGTATCATAGTACTTAACAAAATCTTGATCAGTAAAGCACAAGCACTTCACCCAACAAACACTTCACCGCATCTGTTGATCTGTCTGCCGGCAACAACGTTTTATAAGGAGTTCCGTTGTGGAACTTCCGTAATTTCGTTCACCAGATACAAGATAATTTCTTTTTACGCCAGGTCTAGCAGACGACTTTCAATTAGGGCGTTGCGTTCGTACATGTATGCCATACAACTAAGACGCATCGATAGAAGTAGAACCCACAAACGGGCGATTTGCTCCCGTGCAAACTGTAGGATTGTGCAACACTGCATTCACGTGAAGGCTTTACGTGTATCCCGCCTTTTCACATGCATATATTCACATGATACACACGCTGCTAGCTTATCCAGCTGTTGTTGATCTGCAGTTTTCAGGCACTCGTCTTTTATGTACCCAGTACCCGCAATAAAATTTCCGAACTGACATTCAGACACAGCCACTTTCCTCCATCAGCCATCTTCTAATAATTCACATATTTATTGCATTTGTGTTAGTTAAAAAGTTTGGTAGAGGGACATACAAAAACTTGTACTGCAACTAGCAACATTCGTAGATGGACTGGCATTTACTTTATTCGTGCGTATGCGGGGGCGGAGATAGCTAGCAGGTGCATTCGTGCCGCAGACGAGATCGTTCATAACATTTGCGAATTGCACTCATAACAATTCCCATGCCGTTCCCGTGTTATTTGGACGTGTATGCATTAGAATCTCTGTTCCACCATTACGCAAACCGTTCTGCATCCCGTTACACAAATCGTTCTGTATACGAACGTACCAACAACAATGCCCCTCCTTTACAATGATGATTCTGATGACATTGCAGTACTAAATTGATTGTATAAATATGATAAACTAAATTAATTTTGTCGTTTCAAGCGCGATACCGCGACGTAATTAATAAATTGGGTCTGACCGTCAGCATTCCTGTGGTACATGCCACAAACTCAGCGCCGCTCATTTTCCGCAAACTGAAATAGACAAGCGGATTTTCCCTTAGTAAATAAAACAATTTAGTTCATCTTGGTACATTTGACTTCGTCACACAAGACAATACCATGATCCAAATAACCCGGTAATCGTCAGCCCTCGTGCGTAATAGATATTGATTCATTGATAATTGAACTTAATTGACTTAATGAAACAGCATTCCTGTTAGCACTATATAATGACAGCAAACTAGTTGCAATTTGTCGGTAACTGGAAATACCATCACAGTTCGTCGTGGACTGCAGCCGGACTCATTCCTTGACCCTCCAAGCTTTCCGGCCTCCTGACTTCCGGTTTCCACACCAGATTACAACGAGAGCAGTGTATAAACTGGTCGAATAATTGAGGACGTAAACATACCGGTAGCGCGCACGGAGCGCCAAATGCACGATATTGGCATTTATAACGATGGCCATTTCATTACAGTTAATGCAATACGGAGAAAACCAGGCGCACTTGCATAACAATAATCCCTTGGGCAAAATAATTGGAAAGTTAACAGAATCAGAGTAAAACTTTTAGAACGTCCTTTGCATAACAATGAATGTCGCCGGCCCATTTTTGAAGCATCTGGTATAATACAAGGCTGCCAGCAGTGTACTTAAGATTCTAAATTTTCAACCCATGTAAAACCGAAACAAAGCAGCGGCAAAAAGAACATACACGCCTGAATACCGTAACTGAATAGATCTCCTGTTTGAAAAAGTTACAGAATTATAAAATTTAAAACCGAACCGTGAGAGTAGGGACACGCCGGAAACAAACTATCGCATTCGTACAGCTCGGTAATATTTAGTGGGCCCACAGAGCCGAGCACCCCAAAAGAAAGTTATTAAACGCTGCTTGCATCTTTAATCTTTATAACATCCATCTAGAGCTTTCAGGGTCACCTGGCTGCAAGCGCAAATATCCAGCTGGCGCAGATCCATTGTGTCCCAGCGCTTCGGGTTGTCAGTCGGGCGAAAAGTCTCAAACCTAATAATGTTGACAAAAGGTTTCCATACAGTATGTCGGATTCATTTGGCAAGTAACATATTCTCTACTACAAGTATGCCGCGTATGAATTCATTGCATTTGCAGCAGTCATTATGAACATTTTGCCTAAATAACAGATAGGACAAAACGACTAAACTATTTCTCAAATATACTGGGTAAATACTGGACTGTAATTTATACTTTTACTGAATGTACCTGTACAATCATTTTAACATAAATTCTGGCGCGAGAATGGTAAAAAAACGATTAAATTAAAACTACAAGCCTAAGAAATGCTACGACTCTTCAACTGGAGAAAATTTGGCGTGTTCTACGCCCAGCTTTCAGTTATTTATGAAGTTACATAAACGCGCTAGCAATTTTGTTATAACTTCTAATGGTTTTTTACCTATCTACCGATTGCACTCACAGCCTAAGTAAGATACGGATGCTCGTCCATTCGTCGGGATAGGCCAACATCTGCACCCAGCGACTATGCATAGAAGTGACCTTGTCCTTTATCCGTTGAGAGACATGCGTGCAGGTGGCGTTGGCCGCGGTCAGTAAACAACGCCACCGGTCCAACGGTGAGTCGCTGGAACGGAAACGCACGGAGGGAACGATAACATCGGTCTTGAGCTCCTGCCGAAACAGCTTAGTATCTCGCAAAAAGGCTTTCTCGGCTGCCGGCAGCGTCGCATCCCGCAGCATTATCTCCATCGCTGCTGTGGCAATAACTGGCCATGCCGGGAAGTTGCATACGATTATCTTCTCACACCCGTGAAAAAACTCTTTCGACCAGCTGCAATCGAACGTCCCGGCGCGTTCGTTGCGACCGACGGTTATTAACAAGGACCAGGACAGAGACCCGAAAGCACAGGTGTTTTTGATAACGATTAGCGGTAGACGAATGCCTTTAGCTTGTAAGAGCCCACTCATGGTCCGGACTTTGGTTGCCAGATCCATCCCGCCGTCGAACTTTGGCTGGCGATGAACAAGCGCCAGCGACTGTGTGTTTTGGATGATAGTGTTATCAAGTGTGGCAAGAAAATAATAAGCGGTAGAATAATAAGCCGCGGAAAACACTGACTGCATTAACAGCTTGGCGAACTTTCGACACGAATTGATAGTGATGTGATGACGTTTATCATCCAGTACCAGAAGCCTCCACAGCGCGCACACCCTTTAAAACAACACATCGTAGATCAAACATTTACAACTGCCCGAAGGAGGGGCAGGAATGTTGACCGACACTAAGATCGGTGACGAAAACGAAGACAGCAACTGAATTGTACGCACGGTTGTTGTACAGTGAAACTTGGTTGCTAAATACACCTTCGGTTAAAGCAAAACCGCATATGTTATCCAGATGTATGTATTACACAGAGCTATGTTACAGTCTATGGGACGCGCCGGTTAAACTTTCCGCGTATGTAATTTCCAGGTGAATGTATTTACCGGGGTATGTAAAAGGCAGGATTTATGTACAGTAAATGACAATCTGCACATTTATAATTAGTTACTACCGCACATTCGCTACTAATTTTATATCCAGCTACTTAGCAGCATTAGATATGAAGTCCGTACTATCAGCATTCAGTTGGCAGTTATTGGTTGGTAAATTATTTGTTAACAATAATTATTGCAATAATTTTTAATGTCTCGGTGCCGAGCAAACCATGCGCCGATCACACACTAATAATTCTCAAAAATGAGACAATAGTATCGACAAAACCTTTTTTCTAAAAACGGAATATTTGTAAATAAAAAACACTTAAAAATTACTTTTAAAAATAGAAACAAAAAGTACCAAATCTGTACTTTATGTTAAACAAACACAAAATATGATATTCGTTTTTCAGAACGTATTACAAGTAAGTCCTTTGGAGAAACTCCGTTTCACTTCGGTCGATTACATCATACTCAGTGCTCCGAGATGTCACGACAGCATTTTACATCAGAAAAACTTGAGATGTCTTACCGCTGTGTTCGGAGCTGAGTAATCACATCAAGATTAAGCAGAGTGCAGGTCATGATGACGGGCGGAAGATCCCGGATGGACGTTTCTTCCACATCTGTAAAATTCCTGAGAATTAATGCCATGTCAGATAATACAGTGCGCTACAAAATCCTCATACGGCGAGTAAAAAGTCGCAAATATTAAAATTCATTCAAATATGTTGCCGTTAACCATATTCACCCGCACCTTGAAGATCTTGATCGGTCGCGCATGCGATCATCCTGGACGAAGGGGATAGAACACTTAACTGCTCGTTTAGATATCTTTTACAGGCTTCCTTCAGCGAATCCGCATTCCAGAACATACTGCGACTATCTGGGCCACCGTGGACTTCGGCGCAGACGAACGTAACCGTGTCGCGTCCGGCACTTACAAACACTCGACACCCGACATCAAACGAATAGTTACCAGCATCCATAAGCGCAGCGTGCTGTCCAAAGCACACAAAACCAAAGGTATCCAGCGACATCGAACTTCCCAACAGGCACCCGGCATCGCATCCTGAGTCCCGTCGACCCAGTGCTATGTAATGTGATTCATATTATGTCTGTGACTCTTGCCTTTAGCTATTCTGCTGAGCTGATTGTCTAGTTCTTCTACCTGAATGCTAGTCTGTTGATATTCTATGTCTAGCTATATAAGTCACAGTATGTTACTGTGATAGAGGGTCAGGATACAGTCATCTGACTAGTCGATCGACTATACAATGTACCAGCACGGTTAGCTCTAGTAAAACCCTTCGTTACAGCTAACTGGCAAGTTCCGGCCATAAACATGGGCATCGCTTCCATAGTCCGCAAGAGACTGACTTCGGCGAAGTCAATAACGTGTTCTTTGTACAACCACCCGGTGTGCCCTTCAAAAAAATTCTTCCCGTCGCGCCGGTCCGGTAATTCTTCCGTAAACAGGTTCTGATGTACGATGCGGCAGTTCGGCAACGTGTTTTCTCCGTCCTGAGTCCTGTTATCCACGCTCACGAAGCAGAACATATCACATAGACCGCTCAAGATGACGCGCGATCGAAACACCATTGGTCCGCAGGTGCTGTCCCGCAGCGCCACCTCCAGGTCCTGCCAGCATATACATCGGCATAATTCTTGAGGCAATGATGCGGCCAGAGATGCTGAGTGTGAATCCATTCAGCGGGGACGCTGCTCGCGTCGAAATCGACCAAAACCTTGCCACCGTCAATATCCTGAACGTATCCCAGCCACCATTGGGCGTTGTCACGCTGCACCAGCACCGTGTTACCGTAGTCGACTTCACGTGCATTGGAGTACAGCTGGCGAAAGTACCGTGGTGTCCCGTTCATTATTGTGAAAAAATATCGAGAAACATGAATGCCAGAGAAAACAGATTCTTTCGCTACATCCCATTCCCTTGTGTGTCGCTAAATCTCTAAATTAGCCTAAATTTAAAAAAATTATATAGTAAAATTTCTTTTCTCAGCGCTTTGTTTCTCTATTTACACACAAGCGCGCAGACAGCAGTAGAGAACATTCCAACGCAACACGCGGATCCTTATTTGTGGGTAATTCCTATTTAATACCGGTTGACTAACTGCAGCTCTGCTATTCAGTGAGCCCAATCAGCCAACCACCCATAATCGTGCAACATCCGCATTCGCTCCCTACAATTTTTCAACTCTTCGTAAAGGGTCAGTCGTGCACAATCTTCTCTTGGGCTCCGCTTGAAAGATATATAATAATAAATAATAAGGAATTTATTGTCTTCGTGCGGGGGTCGTGAGGGATATCTTCCTCTGAACGACTTCGACTTTGTAGGGCTTTCTTTGTGTCTGTTGTGATCTGGTAATTAGGTTAAAAACACCAACCTGTTAGTCCTACTAGTTAGCAGCAAACTGGGATAAAGGTTTCGCCAGCACACCACCAAGCGTTACTTAACTAATGTTATCTTCTGTTCAAGTGAACACATTGTGCTAATGGTATAAAAAATACGAACTCAGCAGATAAGTTAAGGAGTCACTTTTTACATGGGGAAAAAGACCGAAGCGCTGCGCGATGTCTTATTAACCGGACGCGGATATAATGCATTTTACGGGTAGGCTTGGAAGAGACGTGTCATACCTTAGCAAAGGCTAGTACATGTACATGTGTGATGTGGATAACAGTGGGTTCTTAGGTATTACCGGATGCGTGGACGAATGAGCCGTCATCTACGTAGTGTGTAAGCCACTAGCCACTAGACGACATAATTCACCTCATCGTTAACAATGTCCGGTATGGATGCATAACAAGACCACGATATTATTTGCATGTACTGGCTCATTTCACAAAGAGGTCAGTCACAGTGAAAGCTAATCCGAAAACTAAAGCAGCAAATTCGAAAAACTCATGATATTTGCTAGTACTACGGCGCCCTACGTCACAAAGCCATACGAAAACCGATAGTTCATAAAGGCACTCTGTACATATACGGCGACATGTTCTTATCGGCAGACACATCAATGCGGAAGTTCTGCGTTATTAACGAATGTACGAAGAAAACTAAAGCCTAGGAATGTGACAACGAATTATTAAGAACCATACCAAAACAGTCGTATGTTATGCATTAATCGGCGTGTCGTTTGAATAATTCCACGACAAGACGCTGCAACCACGTCGGAAACGTCCGGATTCGGTCGACGGTCAGGTCCATTGCGTTAACGGGATGATCATCCTCAAAAAGAGGCATTCCAACAAAACTACAAAAGTCCGAATAAAGAACAGAACTACAAACATTCACTGGAATTACGAACAGAGACCAATGAACAGTACGCGCACCACAATTGTACCACTGCTGGCCCCCTTATGCCATCGTTTTACGTTTTTTGCGACATCATAATGATGTCCGTAAAGGCACTGTGTTCAAATTTGAGAGGATCACTATTGTACAGATCAAGCACAATAATCTGCATGAAACCCTACATTTGAACTGTATTTTTGAAAGTTGTCTTCGGCAGCTTTGCCTTTTCTAATGAATTCCAGAAAAAGGTGAGCTACTACGTATATTATAGCAGTAGTGTTATGATTCAAATAATTATGTTTTTATTTGATTGGTCGGTGATAAAGCCGATAATGTAATCGGTAGCCTGTGGGCGGTCTGTCACCGTCTGTGTTCCGAATTTCTAGCTTCTGTGGAGATGAGAATGAGTTTACGGAAATCAGTCGGGCACGGTGCTGCTTCGCAGCCACTAGCACTTCTTCAATTGCTAATAAACTTTGATGAGAAAGCTTTCTTTCTTTCGTTCGTTCGATCGTTCGTTTGGAATGACCTTTCGTCTTCCTGATTCCTGTAATTCCCTAAACTGTGTAACGTCTGCATCTTTGACCACCACTTTCGGTAATTGTGCGTCGTGGCGCGGCGTGTAGCCAGCCCACTAGTAACGGAGGCCCATCATCAGCCTTCCGTTGTAATATTCTAATGTCAAATTAACTAGTGGTAGCGGGAGGCCTACCGCCCAGAGCTAACGATGGCGCGGCAAAGGTGGTAGGTACTTGAAGTTCTATACAGATACAACTACTTTTACTGAGAGTACGCGTTTCTTACCGGTACAGATACAGAGCTAGCGTACCGCCGACAGGATCACTGGATTGCAGTTTCCGTGCAACGACGTCTTCCTCTTCGGGACTCCACATGGTTGCGAAAAATCGGCTAAAATATTCAAACGACTGGACCAGCGCGTGTGGATACCAAAACAGCGGAGATTCTGCCAGTGACTCGGAGTAATCAAACGGCCACTTGTCTCCACATTTCTCCATGACGTCCTTGTCGATGTGCGAGCTGAGCGTTACAGGCAATTCTCGCTGCACCAACGGACCGGCTTGGAAATGGCACCACAACGTCACACTTTCCAGCTGCACTCGCATCACGCCGCGCGGAATAAGTCCGGATAAGATATTAAGAGACAAGTGCAGATTCTGCATAGTCAGCCCCACTTTGCGGACTCCTTCTTTGCCTAAGATCTCCGGTACGTACTCCCGGAGAATTTCCCGGAGATAGCTGCGGATCTGCGGAATATCGTAGTGGAAGTTGTAGCGGAAGGCGATATACTCCTCATCGTCCTGTTCCACCATCTGCGGGGCCGGTGGCAGCGAATCCAGTGACCAGCGGACGATGAGCTGACGGGTGCGTCGGCTGACGAAGCGTACCAGCAGGGATTTTCGTTGGACGGAATATGGATCGGGCATGGGTGAGAAGACGCCTGGAGAGAATTGTCGGCGGACGATCACGGTATCCGCAGATGGGGGTCGCGGGGCGTATGTGTCCCATTTCTGCACGTCTAAGATGACGGCCTTCTGCAGAGTAACGCAACGGCTCGCACGTTCCCACTGTTTGCAGACGCTGTTGAAAATAAAATATGAGTACATAACCAACACAATAAAAACATTTATTGGGATTTGAAGGTTTTGCTCTGTGTAACCGTGTTATTTTAGCAATGATTGCCAAGAACTTAGGGTAAAAACCTGCTAACAAAAACCACAACTTACATGGAATTGTTCGTTATGTCGATGATATCCAAGAACGAAAAGATATGCGACACCATCTCGTCAGGCAGATCGTGGAAGGAGCAGGGCACTGGCTGTGGACCTGGAGCCATTGACTTCGGTGGCAGTGCTTCCATTTATCTGCTGCCTGGTAGTCCTTCCAGTCCTAAACGAAAATCCAGACAGATGCGATATTCTTCGCGTGATGCAAACCAGCAGCCGAATAAATATTTGATGCACCAAGAGTTTTCTAAATTCAGAGAGTTACTAATCAAAGTGATCGCTGATCCGAAATTAAGTCGTCACAGACTCACAAGAATAACAGTTACTGAAAAAGTATAAACTGTTCTGGTCTCGCAAACAGCGGCGGTGGACAGCCGCAGCATGCAAGTTTCAGAGAAAAGTGCTGTACTACAACTTGCACCCTTAGGCCTTGTCCCGAATTCAAAGCGAATCTTGCTATGGAACGGTTGCTCAACCGCAAGAAGTGGCTGGGTGCAGTGGCCACGCCTACAGATACGGTACGCGAAGCCACCTCGCGAGGTGGAGTTGCTGTATCGCAACGAGATTCGCTTTGAATTCGGGACGAGGCCTTAGTACTCGTACTGAATTGACGGTATGCGCCAGGGCAGGCAGCCGCGCACGGGCAGGAGTTCGTGAAACCTGCGAGTGGTCGGAAGTCGCTGTTTCTGTCGCTAAGCATATTTTCAAATCAGTGACTTTAAATACTGCCCACTCATCTGTTAGCAAAACCAAGACCACAACCAAAATGTACAGAAAAATGTGCTCTACAAGGAAATGTTAGCTGTCAAATGAAGATCTATGACAACAGTGACTTATTGCCGCCAACGTTGTGCACCGTGAAATTCGGTGTTATAGATTGTGCTTAATTCTCTGTTGGTTAGACCCCTCGTACAGCCAATGAGCGTGCTTGCACCGGCACCGCCCATCTACCGCATTCCACAAATTGAGTATTCATGCGCATGACTCGTGCCCTGAGTGCGTAATACTCGTACTATACGAGTATTACGCACTCAAGTCCCGGTACAGAATTCCACTGTTCGTGAAGCTAAGCTGCGAGAGTAGTCAAGCCGCTCGAAGCTAAGGCACCAACGCGTTTGATTCCTACGTTTTACGAGACTTCGGGAAAATGCAACACACAGATATCCATATAACCAGCACAAAAATTTGTAGTGTATAGTAAAAGGTGCTCGTAAACGTGAACATGCTGTTGTACCTGACAGCTGGCGCAGTCAATGCCCGTACACGGCTGCGTTGTTGTATTTACGTAGTCTGCTATTAGGTAGATATGGACGACTTCGTACAAATTTTTTCGAGGCATGTCTTTCTATTTGTATCCGCAGAATCCCGCCGTATCCCACGGTATCCTCTACCGGCTCTACGTATCCCTGATAAATCCTCACATTCTTCTACTCCTTTTATTCAATGTCGTAACCCACCGTATCTCTGCAGTTTCCTTTACGTACCCCACATGTCTCCCTCTAATACACTTAACAGAACATAATAAAACCTATGCAATAACATAATAAAGTTATTGTTCGTCCGACGCCAGTCCGTTTTCGGAAGGCGGGCCCCCCCCCCCCTTTAAAGACGGGCCTGTGAACGGTGAACCACAATAAATTGATTAAATAATTAACCATGGATATTTTAAATTACGAGCATTTTCCTATATTTTTTCGTCGAATTATTTCCCGCCCAGAATGCAATAACAAAACTGCAGTACTTTACCATTCCAGCAGTGGCCCAGGCTATGTATGGTAATCCGCACATTCTTCGTCCTTTGTGACGTCCGGGACATCGGGAATGGACAGACTAGTGCATAACCTGTGGAGAATATTCTCCTGAAAAACATGAAGTCCGGCATGGGTCATCTGATAAGCAGTTTTATAGAACTGTTGAAATACTGCCTATAAAAAGCAACTGATTTTTTCAGGTACTGTAACTAATTCCCGAAAACGTAACAGAACGGCCAACCTAATAGGTCCGTTTTCCTGGCGCCAGTATCCAGGAGTCTATGGAGTAACGGCCACGTACAGCTATGATTGTTATGATCCAGCGCCAAGAGAAAATCCACCAGGGCCTCCTCTTTCCGACTGGTGAGGGCCAATTTCCGGCCGGGTCATCCGGGCTCCGTCGACATGCCCGCGGAAACCAAGACTTTCTAGATGGTTTTCGCACTGACGACCATGATCTTACCAATCTGCTTTCGGGATTTTTCTTCGTTTTGTAAACCGAGAATGGCAGCCTGCTGCTCGGTTAGCGGCACCTCCTGCAATCCATAGACCACAACGAATCTTCTTATTCTGCACCTTCTTGTTGTTTTATATAGACTGATCACATAACAAAAATAACAGGACCGTTAAGACCGTCAAGTACTGTGGGGATTTTACGATAGAACGCAAAGTACACTCGGATATACAAAACTAAACTATTCTCAACAGATCACTGCAAGGCGTATTTCACATTGCGGAGAAGTACTAAACATGGAAAGAACAACCTTCTCGTGGAGATCATGACCGTCGTGAATTATACATCGTTCTTCATCACAGTAGATTAAATAAAACTCAGCGCCCCGGGTTAGAGTTCCAGGTAGCATCCGGTGCATCAGTTGATCTTGGGAGCGAATCTTTAAAGCCCAGTGAACGCGAGCGCAGCGGAACAGTACTGACATTCAAATTTTGCACATAGTTCACCGAGACAGTGTCGATCAACGGGAATTGACTGACAATGTTCCGCACTTTCGCGTAGACCACGGCGCAATCGGCGATATTCAACCGCTTTTCAATGGCATAATACAGTGCGTCCATGTACAGTGCGTGCGTATGTCCCAAAAGCGTCTTGTTCGATGCTTTTGTGGTTTCTGCAAAATATTGGCGGTTGTCGTTAGCTCATGAATGAAATAATAATATGCCCGCCTCAGAAAGCTAATAAAAAACATAACCCTAAGTGGTTGTTCATCCCCTGTAATCCATTGTCTTGACACGCATTCCACTGGATTATCATCAGTGCAGGCTTATCGTTATCCGATTGGCTACTGTTTATTATACCGTAATTACAACATTTCCGGACCCCCTTTCGCACTACGATCTGCCCGGTCCACTCCCCGCCCCCCGGACACGTTTAAAAAAAGGGCTCCACTCGAAATTGGGGTCGTTAATAATTGTCAAGCGCAATAAACCGTCAATTAATTCCAAGCGCAGTGGTGGTGATTGTTGGCAATTAGCTGATTACTTGTACCGGGATGCTGGCTGTGTACTGGCAGATAGTCACTTATCCGATATCTGCTGCGTCCATTTTCATTAGAGCAGGATGCGCAGTTACTCGGAAACGCGATGAATGGCCCACTAAGCAGGCACCATCCGAAGGGAATCGAGAAACGTCCGAAAAATGCACCGATAGGGGAATCGAACCCAGGCGCCGCCGTAAGATCCCTGTAGTCAGTATTGTACCACTGCAGTGACTGCACGACGGCGCAAAGGGTTCACAAGTCTCAAAAGACTTTGTCGCTGTACGTGAGCCGCTTCTTTCCTTACAGCCCCTCAGAAATTTATTTTTGAAAAATTATGACACCTTCCCAAAACAACCATGCCATCCCTCCCCGGAATAAGCAACCCCGCTCCAAGACGTTCGAACCATTTGTACGCAAATTCCGTAATTATTTCTCATATCCATATCAAGCATCACAGTAAGAAGACCATTTTAGAGTAGTGCCCCAATACGCAGCCATAAAACGTTTTACAGCGGACATCTCAGTTCCACTCAGTGAGCTTTGCTTGGAAAAACTCACGAATACCTGGGTAAAAAATAGCCGCTGCTAGCAGGAGATAGAGCTCCACCAACGTCAATCCAATGCTGTTAATTGCTGTATAGCCCGAACCAAGGAACCGCAGGTAATCCCCATCGACCTTCAGCACTGATTCTAAGACGTATCTGGATACATGCAGTCCGCCACGACCAGTGGAAATCCATATGTAATACTCCCCTTTGTGGAAGTAATTAGCATAGTGCACCTGCAAAACACATTCCAGTCAAACGAGGAAACTGAAAAGCTGGATGACAACCGACCAGATAGCTGATGAGGTACTTTTCCATTAACAGCGTCCGCTGGTCGTCGAAGGAAAGGTCGTGAAAACCGACCAACAGTGAGCCAAAGGTAGCCAAACGCTCAGCTGTCCTTTCCATAACTGCTGTGATCACCCTGAGCCAGTGCGACGGTGTTGTCTGGGGCTCTTGCTGAAAAATATAGAAATAGCACTGGTGGCAAAATCAATTGCAACTGTCTGTCAGCCAGTAGTCGAGCAATACAGAAATGGAGGTCACCAATCCGACCTGCTGCCAAAAATGTGAGAACGCAAGAATCATGTTGGTATTAAGTGCAAGCTTTACTTATAACAAACTGGAGGAAAAACGCGATCCCGTACTTACGCTAATACACCATTGCTCAGAAATTTAGGCAAAGTTCTAACGTTTAGTTTCATCAAGCGTTTAGTTCTAACCTTTTTCTGTTCGTTTAGGTTTAATTTATTCGCGAAATTGAGGCAGTACGGCTAATATGGAACAAATTCAGTTCTTGTAAATGAGTACTATTCCCTTGGAATTTGACTGAGTTAATAAAATTTTATTTAGTTGTGACAAGTTAATTTAATTGTGTTTAACTGTTGAACCGGTCTATGCGTGCAACTAACCGGCACGAGGCCGTCCCGGAGCGCCGTAATCATAAAGGTGGAGAAGGCAACAATCTGGTCGCCGTAGGCGGTTTCGTATGCCTCCGTTACACCAGCGATCACCTTCTCCAGCGCACTGTTCCGCGCTCTAACGATCTCAAAGTATTTGTCGATGGTGGACGGACATAGCAGGGAATGGACGAAATGGCTCGGCAGCGTCGACTGGAGAATCTCCGCGGAATCTCGACGGAAATCAGAAGAATCTACAACAACCTCACTAGTCAGGCAAATGAGAGTAAAAAATTGGAAAGCGCTCAAAGAGAAACAACACGTTGCAATCTAATAAACTGACGTAAACGTACAGGTAGCAGTAGCATACATAAAGAAAGCGGCAGGCGCTGAATTTTTAACCCTTATAATTTATATTGCAAGTGTTGAGCATGCATGTTAGCAGAGACAGATCCCATCATCTATCACATTTCTGTAGTGTACGTTAACATTTATTGATCGATTAGACGGCGACAGCGCATTTTGAGCGTTACACGTTCTCACGGGTTTTATTTATACAAACCGGAAAAGCGCACGAGCTGGCCCGAGCGAAACTGCAGGCTGGAACTAAATCGTCCTGTTCGTAAACCGATAGGCTGATTGCCCGTTTGTGGGGTCTGTCGGTAACAGTCCGGAGGGGGTTGTAACGGGACTACGGAATTTACTCCGACGTCAGAGGACGGGCTTCTGCAGCGACACAATACATATAATTTACGTGGCATGAGACAGCCGTCACAGCTTCAGTCCTTGGTAATCATGGGGAGAAGGTTTCGATTTACGAGACATAAGTACAAATGTACAATACATCTTTCCCACTTCAGACTAGAGCAATTTATAACTTCGAGTCCATTTTATTCAGCCTTTGCGCAATTTGTGCTTACGTGTCTGAACTCCGTGATTCAGTATGGAGGGGGGCGAAGCGTGTCACTGAAAAGTAAACGACGGTTCTATCAGCAGAAGCATAAAAAAGTAAAATTTTCAAAACAGATTTACATTCATTTTCAAGCCAGCTACGCTGTCTAGTCCAGGCCTCTGTATTTAGTTTGTTTTGTTTCGAGCGGACAAACCTTGGAGTCTAATTAATATATTATAACGTTTAAAACAATTCGAAAACAAACTGCAAACATTTAAAAAGATTTTTACAAGGTAACAAGGCAGAAAAAACCCGAAGACTTGAACAGAAACATAACCAAACAGATTATCTCTGGAAGTATAGAACATAACTTTATCAAACAGATTTTTCATCTTTATCAATCTAAGCACTGCATCTCATACTTCAAAGCTCACCAGACTTTACGCGATGCCCTAAACTGCTAGATCCCGAAGGTATTGGATGAGACTGGTCGTAGTCTAGTGATCTCTTTCGAGATGATCGCTCGTCGGGCGACCTCATTTGAACAGACCGCTTTGCCCGACTCATAGCAACTGACGCAGGCTATGAACAGCGAACTTAAATTTGGACAACAACACTGTTTCGAACCACGAAGCCACAAAACTGGGTAGTGAACATTCCAGTTTGTTACTTGATGGAAAACACCAGTCAACGGTGGAAAAGAGATGCCACACTCAACAGTCAACACTTTATGGATGCCTACGGCGGAATAAAAACTGCAGCTGGCAAGTGGCAAATGGCAAATGCAACTGCCGCATGCATTGCCAGAATCCACGTAGGCGCCGTTTCTTGGTGCATGTCCGCTGTGCGGTGATCATGCTGCTTTCCAATCGTTTCTTCCTTTTAAACGCGGTGTCGCAACTCGAAATCAAAATGCCAAAATCAACACAGAAGAAAGAAGATTACTCTACAGTCCCTGCTTGCCATTAAACAGACAAAACTAGTAAGTGCTTTAGCTGGTCACGGCTCGAAGAAATGCGTGCTTTAATATTATAGGCTAGATTTTATTTGACAATAGTTCACCAACCGGAAGTGGTTTGGATTCGCAGTCTCAAAATTTTCCTTTAATTTGTTTCTACCTGATTGTTGATTAAGTAGAATAAAAACAAATTTCTAAGGGATTCAGGCTAGACACTTAGAAATCAACTGCCTGTGCGAGGTTTCGTGAACTTTTGAATGAATAAATGACGTAACGAATATAACGCGGGGCCGTATGGGCGCCACGCGTATCCTCGACAGCGAACAGCGGTGAACCCGGATGAGGCTTTAATGCCGAATCTAATGCGCACCGTGGCGCAGCAACACCAGACTAATGAGGAAGGATCTTGCAGCCAGTGCAACTGTGCTGCAGGTCCGTCAAAACAGCGCAGCAATGTGCGGGGTGGAAATCCCCAGAAACAGCGAATAGCTACTCAGGAGGGCGGGGCGTCCCGCCCTTACACGAACCTCCCAGATCGGCACGTACAGAGGTACGTGCATATTGGACGAGTGCAGAGGACGTAATAATTAATAATTTTGCAATATTCAACAGAAAAAATCCTAATACTATAATTTAAAATAATTAAAATTAATAATTTTGCTTAATTCGCTTATGTTGTCGTGCACGGTTTCTCTGCTGCAAGATTGCATTGATTAATAAAATAAAGGAGTTAATTATTTAATTTACACCTTAAGCTTAAGGTGTCATCGGCTGTCTGTCACTTTAAGCCAGCGACCGTACTTAGATGTTGGAAATTTAAAATTAAAAATTCTGATATGATAGCCGAACCCAGTACATGAAAATTTTGGGATTTTTTCCGGTTTGTATCTCCGAATTTAGCTTACATTAATTTTAGTTTATTAGTGATACTTTGTCGCCCCACCCACGGGAGGCACTTCGCTAAGTGGTCAGTAGACAAAACCAGACCGTGTGTAACTCTTCGAAACTGTTCTTTCCTATGTGGTGACATGTATCAACTCGTTCTTCCGTCCCGCCCACCCTCTTTTGCGAGGAGAAGGGGGTGGTTTTAGCAAGAACGATGCGGACGGTTGCGCCGGTGACCCGTGTTCCGGTGCTAGTGTCTGACCCAGTGCCCAGATATGTAGGGTTGAAATTCACGAGGCTTAGACCCGTTTGTGAAAAGAAGTGAAATGAAAGTGAAATGAAGTGAAATGAAATGAAACGTGAAATAAAAAATATAATTTAAATTGATTATTTTAGCTTTTATTAGGGTTGTAAACAGCCAAAAGAATTTAAATCGTTAATATATATAAAACTGCACTAGTAGAAGGTAAGCACTAGTAGTTTAAAATTTCGAGCAAATTCATTGTAACTGGATTATTAATTTTATTATTCAGCACTGACGATACAGTAAATGCAAAATGATTCTGCAGTAAGTGCAAAACGATTTTTCAGCTGGCTTTAATTTTTTAGTAAAGAAGTACACCTATTTAAAACTAAATTAGGAGCAGAAGTTTTACCATGATAATCAATACACAAGAACAAGGCATATAAAGAGAACTTATTTCTGTACAGGAAAACAGCGCAGTAGTGCACTGCAGCACGGAATTTCCTTCGAGTTACTACTGTTACTAGTACAGCAGTACTCGTAGAATTTGGGCGCGCCCTTTGACTACCGTTTGACTGCAAGTAACCTAAAAATTCCGTTTAATTTCGCATTAGATCTTGAATTGCACTGTAAAGTATAAACACCTCTAACACATAATTTCTTTTGTGTCCGCAGTACGAGATCCCGGTTTGACAAATCGAGATCATCTACCTAAGCACGGATAATTTTGTTATTAAAACGAATTCTTCATATTATTGGGCAGAACAGTAGAACTGAATTTTAGTGTCTTTTGACTAACTATGTATCTAAGATCTCAAAATTCTGAAATTATCTGCATTAAAAGCGTAAGAAATACCTTTTCTTCTCTTCCAGTTGCAATATTAATGTCTACGTACGCGCAGTTTTGCCTAACGCAGGGTTCGAATTAGAAGCGGTTACACAAAAAATACAACGGAGTGATGTTTTCGTTGCAAGAAATATTGTGAATCGCTCCGATTTCGTCCACTGCCGAAGCATTTTAACCGATTTCACGATTTCACCATTTCATGCATTTCACATTTCATTTCATTTCACTTTCACATTTCACGCGAGGGTCCGCGTGATTGTGAAATGAAAGTGAAATGAAAAGTGAAATGTGAAATCGTGAAAGCGTGATTTCAACCCTACAGATATGTACAGGTAAAGCTTACTCACTACGCTTCGGTTACGTTTAATCACTACGCCTTCAACTTGCCGGGCATTCCGCACTCAACGACCGCCAGAAATTTTCTTTTGTTTACACACGGATTTCGAAGACCAACAACAGAAGCTACACTTTCTTATACGCTCGACCGATATCCCTCGTATACCGCATGTAGGAACCTGTCACCTGAAACTGCCGCAAAATTTTCCTGCAAAGGATGTTAAACGGCACAACAGCAATGCAATATCATGTACAGAGTTCAGAAAAACAGTTAATTTTCGCGCGAAGCCGATGCACGTTTTTATACCTGGGATTGCTAGACATTTGATAGAAAATGGTAAAAAAATGGTTTGGTAATAGAAGAAAAAGCTGGGTTCCCCGATAATGCGCGCTTCGTGGAAGACAGTGAGTTATACACCTAAATTCCGCGCAATGATTTTAAGTTACAATCTGAATTGGTAAAGTGCAACAAAGAGGCATTTTCCCGCGGAGCGCGAAGCAAACAAACGGTATGACTGATCAAACCGCTAGAAATTCAATTAAAAACAGCAATTTCTGCAGCTTTTTCCAAAGCCGGTAAAATTTGTCTAGCAATACTAGCCCTGTACTTTTTTGAAGTACCCACTTTTCCAAAAATTCCGGAGAGGGCACGTGCCCCCTCCTTAAATTCGCCCCTGGATATTGCTACCACTGGGAGTTGCTACAAAAACGAAACTCCTCGTAGATATCTGGTTTCGCTTGGAGTAACTCAGTTCTACCTGCAGCCCGAGTGAGTTCAGTTCGCCTACCTGCATGACTTCCTGCAGAATACATAGTGCCGCCTTTGTACCGTGGCTACACAGTGCGCAACACTAGCTTTGCCTTTGAAGAATGCCCGTGCCGAAAGTTGAAATTCCTGCCATGACAGTTATCGTCAGGGCGTAGAAACCCGCGAGAAACTGGATTCAAAACCCAGATTTCCCAAAACGAGTTTTTTTCTTGCGCAGGAAGCGTTATGAAGATTTTGAGGGTAGAGCAGTAGAGCTATTACCAGCAATTTTTCAACTGCGAAGCCATAAGACAGAGTGTAGTACGTACAGTGAAGTATAAGGATTTCTTTCGAAGTAATCAAATACGAGACATATATTTTTCCGCCCAGTTTACTTCATACTCCTTATCATTATTTTGCCCAAATATATTGACCGGCAAGTACTGGAAAAGCGAGGAAAACCTATGTTATACTGACCGGCTAGTACCGGAAAAGCGAAGAAAACCTTCTAAAAAATTAAAAACAAGCTGTCCGATTTGTGCCAGTCAGGATCGAGCTAGAAACCAGAAATCGATCAACTGGTCCGCACTCTGCAGTATAAAGTGCGAGTACATGTACAGGTATTAAACTTATGCTGTACATCAGATAGCCACATTCACTGGGCATTCATCGCCAACACTGGGTCACTTTGAACTTCCAACAGACATGCGCTTGTCTGCACGATCCACGATATTAAACCGAAGCAGTTCTACAGACTATAGAATAATAAAAAAATATAACTTTGGCCAATGCAGCATTCGCATTGCACGGGGAAATTGGTCACGAGTAAGTATGTTCAGATGGGGACGTTGATATCACGCAGGATTTGCTTCGCATCCTCCTCCGTGTAGCCGGTCCTCATGATGGCCTGCAGCACTATCCGCAGCGCTGTATCACTGATCGGCGGGAGAACGGCCGGCAGCGGCGGCTGGATACCGGGCGGAACACGGCTGATGTTGTCTCCACCGGCTGGTGGTTTCACGCGGCGTGTGCGCTTTTTGTTTCCTAGAGCAGAGAATACCCATTTTCAATTAAAAACCCATTTTCAATTAAGAATATTCATTTCCTGTAGAAATACTGACAAACTGAAAACTTCGCCCTGAGAACTTTCAATTATCAAAAACTGAAAAATATACGTCAAAGAAAAGATAGCTTATTCATATTCACCTTTATTTAATTAAGAAAACCAACCGCTCACTATTAAATATTTATTATCTATAGCGTTGATAAGTGTCAAAGCAAACCAAAGTACGCTGCGCTAACAGCAAAAAAACGAGTACGTAATTACAATAGTTCAGCAGCATGTATCTTATTATATCAGTTTTTCAGCCAGTTACTCGTATAGTCGTATATTGTACTATTTTTTAGGCTTTTATAAAAAAAGCCGAAATTTTTAATCTTAATCTCCAATCCAAATTCTTTTTAACCGGGATTGCGCCATGGGGTAAATTACGGTATGTACGAGTACTTAGGTAGTCAGCACTCTACTGCGATTTTTCCGTTCAATTTTTTCTTGCTAAGGCAACAAATCCAAGTTTTATTAGTACAGTATAGTATTAAATTTAATCAATTTCTGTAATGTATTGTATTACGGCATGCATATAATAATTTAGTTGTACAAGCCATTAATTAAAACTTCCGGCAAAATTATTTCCAAGCAAAAACAAATCCGAAATTTGACGTTTTAATAATTACGCTATCCAGTATCCATAACCACGCAGAGATTAAATTATTTAAATAACTTAGTTTAAATTATTAGCCATTCATTGTCGTACTTCCTTGAAATACGGGAACATACCCCCCCGCATTAATCGCAGTTAAAGTTTGGTTCAATAATACCAACTTAATTCTGTAAAATCAATAACAATTATATAACATTTGTACAATTATTTACAATTTTTTGGGGAATTATGTATTATTTCCAGATCCCAGTTAAAGCAAAAATCGAAAGTGGGTTGTCATAATTATACTGATTAAGCCGTTCATCTGCACAATTAAATTATTCACATCAGTTCATCTTATTTTCAGCAAATGTTGGTAAATATTTTTATAATTTTTAGTCGATTTATTCCAATCGGCAAGCACAATTACAGTACTTTACCATTTCCGGCAGTGGACCAGGCGATGGTCAACCGCACGTTTTTCCGCCCTTTGCGGGCGAACACCTTGCGCGTCTTGGGGCTCTCCACGTGGTGCACCCACATCTCCTGCACCTCCAGGAGGCTGGCCGGCACATCGGGGATGGACAGACTAGTGTATAACCGCCGGAGGATCTCCTCAAAGCAATCCATCCTACCGGGATGGGTTCTCTGTTTGTTCTGCGTGGGACCGCTCAGCCCCGAGTCCACCACCCGCAGGGCGATCTTCTTCCGGTGTCGGTGGCTGAAACCCAACAGCCACTTACTAGAGAAGCTCCGACTGCTCCCGTTCCCGGAACCTGCATACGACAGCGTAAACAAATTCACTATACGGCACAGGATAATTAATAGGAAACCGTTATAGGCACCCCCTGAAACCCCCGTTTATTATAGGCACCCCTTTTCGCACCCTGATTATTATAGGCACCCATTTTTGATCAATACCGTGAGTAGTACTACATGGCCCGAGACGTTCAAGCTCAGGAGCCTTCTATTAAGTACAAAAAAAATTTCAACGAATGTGTGTACCATAAAGAAAACGAAAAAAAAAGGTGGAAAACTTTACCGGAAAACCGCCGTCCTGGACTCCTAACCATGTTCAGGCACAGAAGATAGCATAAATTCGTGCCAGGGTAATTCAGCGACAAATTGCTAAAGAGACCGGCAAGGGTGTCACAGGCCAAGACATACAAAACCAGCAATTAGGCGGAAAAAGTAGATCGGGGTGAACGTAGGGAAAGGGAATCATTTATCTCCGTTTGAACAAATGCACATGTTAAAAATCCGAACGCTTTCGTGAATATAATGCTGTCTAACACCGGAACCCCGACGTGCTCCGGTGTCGCCGCATGTCCAACTGCAGCTCTCCTTGCCGTACGGTGGCCCGCGAACACCATATTCACAAAAGGCGCGGCTCAAAAGTCTTACAAGCTGAGAAAACCACAAGGTGATAACGGATTGGAAGGAGCCAATGAATAAGCTAGCTGACTAACGCGAAAGATGACCTTCTGGTCACAATAGAATGGATGATACTACTTCGCTCCCAGGCTGGCTGATTTGCCGGATCGTCCTGTTATCGGCTGGAAAGCCTGATGTGGGGGGTTAATTTATAACAATTACATAAAAGTCCTTTACTTTCAACTAAACTGCCAGTTGTGAGATAATTTAAAAATCAGGTTCTTCCTATATATTAGTCTCCTTAACTGGACGCCAGAGAAATAAGTTATTGTAAACAATTACTAAAAAAATTAAATTATTATCTGAATAAAGCTGCATTATTACCTAAGAACACTAAATCTGTGATATATTATATTAAGCTAAAAAGGGTGCCTATAATAAACGGGGTGCGAAAAGGGGTGCCTATAATATACGGGGGTTTTAGGGGGTGCCTATAAGGGCACCATAATTAATAACAAGGTAACTAATAATCAAGAAATTGCAATTCGAAGAATCTGTAAATGGCAAATTATTAGCAAATAAATTTTATAAATCGCTTTTTTGCAGCAATAAACTGCTAATTATTGCGAATAAATTTTGTTAACAAAATTGTTTACTCACTGAATCAGCAGCACATAGTCTGCACCGCGAATATATAAACTTCATCAACACATCAATAATTTATCTGAATAAATTGTCCTATAATAAATTGTCCTATATTGTCCTATAATAAATTGTCCTATATTGTCCTATAATTGTCCTAAATTGTGAATAAATTGTCCTATATTGTCCTATAATTGTCCTAAATTGTGAATAAATTGTCCTATATTGTCCTATAATTGTCCTAAATTGTGAATAAATTGTCCTATAATAACTGAACAGTTACGTCGGTCACAAAAACGCAAGTATTTGTAACCGAATCTCATTTCTAAAATCGCTACAAACAAAATTAACAGTATACGGTCTGTAAAAGAATGTCGTTAAAAATCAATACAAAATAATCGTCCATCAATAAATTTTTAAAATACTACAAGAAAATAAATTTTAAAATTAAAGTCGTCCCTAAGCAAGCTTTTCAGATTTACGACAAGATTTCGTAGAACGATGGCTACAATGATCGCGACTCATATATCGAAAGTGATCTGCCGTACAACTCGTTAACATTACAGTGCTGTCTACTGATAAACACTCAAGTTGTACATCTGAATTGTTTACATTTAATTGCAATAGCGGCAGTTGTTCAGAATCATTAAAAAAATCAGAGCGTATGATATCTTTGGTTAGTGAAAATGTAACGTATCAGCCAACCTGATGGGTCCTTTTTCTTAGCGACGATCTCGAGGAGTTTGTGCAGTAACGGCCACGTCCAATTGAGATTCACCTGATCCAGCGCCAGTAGGAATTCCACCAGGGCCTCCTCTTCCCGACCGGTTAAGGCCAACTTCCGGCCGGGTCGACCGGCTTCCGTCGCCATGCCCGCGGACACCAGGACTTTCTTGATGGTTTTCGTACTGACGCACAGGAGCTTGGCAATCTGTCGATGGGATTTTTCTTCGTTGTGTAAACGGAGAATGGCGGCATGCTGCTCAGTTAGCGGCGCCTCCTGTATTCCAGAGACCACAACGAATACGTTCAAATGACGGGAACGAAGAAAAACCACCAGTAGCAGAAAAATTTAAAATTAGAAAAAAACTAAATCGCAAATAATAGAAATTAAACGTGCATAAAAGTAAAATAAAAACGTATTCAGCGACATCAAAGATAATTTCGCAGAAATACAGTACTGTACTACACAGTATACTGTACGATGATCACTACGATCACGAATAACTATTAGCTTGCAGCCCAATAGATTAACAAGACTTCTACGGTAATTGTATACGAGTACTTGTAATTGTAAGTATAATAACTTGTACGAGTTGTATCAATCTACATTTTATATTTATTTATATTTTATTTGCACGAATTATTGTTGTTCATATATTTTATTTAATTGTATATAATTTGCATATAATTGTATGTAATTCGTATTTATGCATATTTAACTAATAAAATAATCAGTACGAGAAAAACGAAAATACGATATACTAGCAATAATATTATACGAAATAAAAATATGAATAAAAACTCTTAATAACATAAAACTTATTGGTATAAGAAAAAAACATGAGTGAAAATGTATTTTGCGACCCGAATACGTTTCTTGTCGAATTACTTTTAATAACAACCACACTTTTAATAACACTCGTGTGCTGTCAACAACAGCCGTTTTATTTGTATTGATTATAATTTATAACAACAATTTAGTAATGTGATTACTACTCAGTACGTCTACTCGTAGTGATTTTACAGTCATTGCACAAATATTCTGAGAATTTGCAAAAATTACCAGACAGATATACACCTCGCGTGAACAAGTTTGGACTCCCGAAAAAAATTCAAACAAATAAGAAGTAATCGTAGACCTTTTGTAATCTTTTATAATTCACTTCTATCTTCTATAAATCTACAACTAATTCTTCTGTAATTAACTTGTTGCTTACAGTAACCGAAAAAAACAGAAAATGATAACTGTAAATTTCATTTTTCATATTTGCAAGGAAACAAGTGGATTGCGATTACCAAAACACGGAGTTGAACGATACATTTTTTTCTTAAGTTCACAGGCGTTTTAGCGCACAAAAACACAAACTAATAAATAAAATAATAAACAACATAAGAATTTTCCGGAAAAGCAGCTAACCTATATCCAATACCGAGCGACAGTAATATTAATTTTTATTGAAACTTGATTCCCCGTAAAGCATCCTTCATAAATTCCTCAAGTAAAGCAAAATTCGTTAAGGGATTTGGCCCGGTACATAGCACTAAATTCGTGTACATCCACAGAAACTTTCGCTGTCGCGCACTCCCCAACACTTTTTGCATTGCTTTATGGTATTTTGTAGCCAAAAGGATTGTATACTTAAGTGTGAAATCCGTTTGGGCGCGCAACATCCGGTTGCAGAGTTATCAGGGTAACAAAATTCCAAAAAGTTTAAATGCATTCAGGTGTACCAAAACTCTCATTATGGACCGATCCCTTTCAAATTTTGCAAGTAAATGCACATAACCAAGAAGATCGTTCTTACGTACGGATCCAGACTCCCACCATTTTTTCGAATTTCAAAATGAATTTTAAAATTTTTGAAATTCATTTTAAAATTTGAAAAACATGCTAGAACAGTGGATCGGTGTAAGAACGGTCTTTATAATTATGCGCATTTGGCGGCAAAATTTGAAAGGAATCGGTCCATAATGAGACTTTTGGTACACCTCGAAGCATTTAAACTTTTTGGAGTTTTGTTATCCTGATAACTCCGCAACCGGATGCTGCGCGAGAAAACGGGTTTCACGCCTATGTATGCAAATTATTTGGCTACACAATGTCAAAAAGCAACCAAAAAAGTGTTTGGAATGAGCGAAAGCGAATATTCCCGTCAATGTACACGAATTTAGCGCTATGTACCGGGCCAAATCCCTTAAAGAAATTAGAAAACCTTTTTGGACGATAAAATATCAAGCTAAAATTACAGTATTAAATTCCTTAAGCAAAAAGCCGAATTTTTTTTTATCCAGCGTGGCTACATTCATGGAATGTGAACGTAATCGTATGTCGTACTTACCAGTGGCAGCATGGATTTCTCGGGTTCAGTTTCGGAGCTACTGCATCCTGCACTGGCATCGTGTTCTTCCGCTCCTTCTGGCTGACCGCGATCCAGGCCTTCTAATGCATCAGTAGGTATTTGTAATATCCGCTGTCTATCCTAAAATGGCCACAGAGCACTCAGAACAGTGCCACAGTGAAGGGCAACAACAAGATTTCATTCATGGACAATTAATTACAAGTAAATCGAAAAATTCGGGATATAAACGACAAATAATTCAATCAAAATTATAAAGTCATAAATGCCTCTTCGCAGCCAGCAGTACACCCGCCATTATTCGTTATTACCAGGACATTAGTAGCATCTCCAAAACAAATTCCCAATCCTTCCGTAACACCCGTGCACCACTGGTTCGCCCGCAATAAGTCCATCATCAACGTTGACATGATTCGCCCAATAAGACAAGTACGAGGAGTAAAGAAAAGATTCGCACGATCATAATCATCATAATGACTAGAAGTAGTGTTCACCTCTTAAAGAATCCACATATATAAATTATTAATCTAAGAAAAGAACCCAGAATCACTCCTTTACCGATTTACGCCTCATTTTGATTGGGCCAAATCAAAATGCCCTAACAAATGAAACCGAAATCCAGTGCAGAACACACGGAATCCTAAATATAATCGGTCCCATAATTAGATAAATCACAAAAATCTTGAATTTAAAAGTGAAGAAAACTAAGAAGAAACCGCGAAATCTGAAATAAGAAGGGCATCATCAGAAATCATTATATTGTACGAGCTCGTATTATGAGCTAAGATACTCAGTTATTTTTTTTAACTTTAGAGTTTAGATTCAAAATATTTCAAATCAGTTATTATTACTTATTATTGTCGCTAGTCTCCTGTCTCGCTACGCGCAGAACGTGGTCCATAGTCAGGACTTAGCACTCAGCATCAAAGTTATTCGTGCTGCCTCGTACACACCCGCCCGTAGACGTTAGTTTGTACACCGGAAATTCAACATGCGTTGAACGTTGCAGTAAATTTGGTTTTCAGTTTTAAAATGCTGTTCGAGGCTCGAGCCTTCGAGATGCTGAAATTAGTGTAGCAACTGTATTTTTGTTAATTTGGCCTTATTTGGGTTAAAAATAGATTTTACCGGAGCTTCGTGGGATTTCATTATGGTCCGTGGACAGCGGAGTTACACGGACGAGGAGATACGGGCTTTCATGTTGGGCCATTCTGCCAGTAATATCAGCGCCAGGAGTTATGCCATGAAAATCGGAGTTCCCTGGACAACATTCATGTTTTGGAAAAGGTAGAACTCTTGTTCATTAAATGAAATTAATTTGGAAAATATTAGGGAAATACCTTAACACTGATTTACTTGTAGAAGGTTGAAAAGCAGCGACAAACCAAGAAAGGAAAAACACAAGAGACAACCAGAGCATCTCGATATCGAGGAGGGGCTGTACGAGTTTATCGTGGCGGAGCGAGAGAAAGGCCGGACGGTGACACGCCGAGAGTTAAGGGAAAGAGCCTTGAATTTAGCGGCAGCGAAAGGAGCTCCCCTGTTTAAGGCTTCGGATCAGTGGCTGAGAGGGTTCCTCAAGAAAAGAAGCTTACGAGACTGCGTTGTGTAACCGCAACTGCAAGTGCCGTCCCCATGGGCGGCTACAATGTACACACTGTGACAGTAATTTGCGATTTTACTGAATTTTTGTTTGCACAGGATTAATGGATAGACTTTGCACAAACTTAATCCAAAGCGACGCATCTGTTGTGTAAAATAATACTTTATTATAATTTTTTTAATTAGATTCGTGCCGAAAGAGTCTCTTTTGGGGCGCAAAATTGAAGAGGTGTACAAGAACGGAAATTTGAATTAATTAACATGTTTCCGAATTAAAGCCAAATCATGTTGCCGGACCGGGCGGTCTGAACTGCGTCACGTGCCGGAAGTCGTACAATACTACAAAGGAAGAACTCTCTGTATCCATTCGTTGAAATATTGTGTAGCTGTGCATGAGATCGTTGTAAAATCGGAAGATTAATCAGAACAGAAAAAAAAAATTTTTACTGGAAGATACACAGGAAGGAGCAACGTCCAAGACATCCAAAACTCCCAATGCGCCCGGCCGCAACCGTCAATGCGGCGGAGCTGGCGTTTAATACATGGTATAATTGGTATTAACTCCGGGCCAGCACAGACCTATGGACTATGTAATAAATAACATGATACGAAAAAGGCGCATTGTGAATTGTATTTTGTTGTATTCTATTGGTATTACAGTGATAATAATTACAGGAGAATGGGGCCTTATTTTACGCTATCTGCCGCTTTATAAACTGCAGCCTGATAGATATTGCGCAGTGCGCACTGCGCACGGGCAAGATGCCGCAGTCATATACAGCTAACGAGAAGCGACAACACCAACAGTCATTCGTCCGATGCCGAATGATTTATCGTTTCTGTGCAGTACAATGAAATCTTATCTTGTTTTACAGAAAAGCGGATGCAGCGATTCATTAATGGTTATAAGAACTCCGTTTGCGGCTTTTATGGTTAGACCTAAACTGTCAGTGTTCGAATTATTCGTAGAATTTATGAATTTTTGAAACCGTTCGTTAATACTCAGATCACAATGCATTCGATTGTCATCGTCGCCTTGGCATTGCTTGCCATCACTAACGCAAGCATAATCCGTAAGTTCGTATCCTTAATTTTCATGGAAAATTTCGCATTTAATTTATGATCTACAGCAAGCGTTTAAGCAAATCTTACAAAACTTACTGAACAATACCTACCTAAGCGGTTAATTTTGAAGCGGTCTATGTATACGGTATATTTGCAGGTTCAGAAGTGGACACCCGGGATCCATGCCTTGTAAGCTTTCAACGTGAATTTATCAACTGCGGTACAACGTAGTTACGTTTACCTGAAATTATGAACTGTCAGCCTATGCGAAATTTGTATTTTTTAAAAGGACTTCACATGCAGTGAGGGCTGGGAGTGTAAATCCATACGCAACCCGTCCTGCCTGTTTGCCCAATCCCGTCCGTGCAATCCACTGCTACCCCGTTGCATTCGTAAGTTTGCGCCATTTATTTGATATTTTGTCCAGCAAGTTATGCTGTTTGTTGTCAACAGGCAAACCCGCCGTTCTGCCCGCCCAGCGCGCCAGTCGATGTCCACCACCATCCGGAGTCGGTTTATGCGCCTTCATGTGCCAGTCCGACAACGACTGCTCATCGGGACAGAAGTGCTGTCGTAATGGTTGCGGTGGCACAAACTGCATGACACCCGTCTGAATCACAATCTTGTGCTTGTTTTGCTAATTCGAATTAAAGCAAGCTTGCATGTATGTATAATGTAATACCATACCGCACAGAAAATGATTTAAAAAGTAGTATCTATAAGCTGTGGCTCGGTTATATAATGCATTACTTTTGCAGTTGTCATGAACGTACAGTATAGTTTCCGACCATTTCAAAATAAAAAAAATAAACAGTAACTTAATAAAATCACACACTAATTATAATACTTGAGCAATATCCATCAGCCGCATGATCCTTCAACATTTATAAACTGTGGTAAAACATTTATAAAACATTTATAAACTGTGGAAACTTACGTAAACTGTGGTAAAAACTGCATAGATGTTTCTAGCTGATTGTACGGTTGTTCGGTCCCTTGAAATGCTTTTAAAACAGTGTCATTAATGAAACTGCAGAATAATTCTTCAGTTCAGTTATTACCGTAACTCTGAAGCTTCTTTAAATTTTCTGTAAATAAAGAAGCACGCCCGTTGGATACCAAAGAAGCGAAGACAAATTCGAAAAACCAATAAGTACAACCGTCGAAGCGCATTATGTAGCGCCCTTGAAACACAGACTTTTACAATCATCTGCAGTGGATATGTTATCAGTAAACCACATGTGCCTGCTACCCCAATTATGATGGCAAGAAATAAAAAAGAAACATAATTTTAAAAAGGACGCTTAACAGGAAAGAAGCTCCAAGATCCCGTTCATCAAACGTCCGGCTGGAGGTCTGCCGCTTAAGTGCACCTTAAGCTATGGTTATTTATCCGCTCCTTTAGTCTGATACTCACCTATAACTATGCGCCTATATGATTGTAGTAGGAGTATTATCAGATAATTTACCCGGCTTCATTGTCATCACAGCGCAGCCAGTGAGATATTTCCCTTCCGGCAACAGACAGTTGTGCAGAGTCCACGTGTCGGTATCTTCGTCATAATATTCGATCGACCGGTCCTTCCCGCCCATGACAAAAATCTTCCCGTCCACGCACGCACTGACAGCTGAATACCTGGATCTGGTTGTGTTTCCTGAATTAATACACACCAGGGTAGAAGTAAACAGGTAACACAGACCGGTGTAACCACACGGAACATCAACTGGCTACAAAGTATGACATAAATGCTCTGCAGGTGCGTACGTTTTTTTTGCCACTGATTGGTAGTGGGATCGTAGGCCTCCACGCACTGCTTGGTTCCCCTGGCATTATTACCTCCACCTATCAACCCATGATGAAGATATAAAGAGTAATTTGGTACCGTGCTCCTGACGTGTTACACAATACACACCAATCACGTAGATTAGTCCGCTGGGACCCACGCAAGCAGTGCAGCAAGATCGAGGCGTCGGCATGTTGGCCATTTTGCTCCAGATATTCGCGATCGGATCGTAGCAGTAGACACTGTTCAAGATTTCCCCGCGCGAATTTTTACCACCAAAAACAAACAGTCGATTGTCAATCGCCACAATAGCAAAAAGCATTAGTGTATCTGGCAGGTCGGCCTCCAGCCGCCAACGATTCTCCTGTGGGTCGTACGACTCCATCGACGATAAAGCCGGTTGATCGGCAGCCATGTCATCACCACCGACCGCGTAGATGCAGCCGTGCAGCGCCGTCACGCCCGCTTCAAAACGACGCTCGTTCATTGGCGCCACTTCGGACCACGTAAAGCGAGCTGCATTGTATCGCCAGACCCGGTTTTCGGAATTGTGGTGGCCAGATGCCCCGCCACATGCCAATAGAGAGCCATTCTCCAATACCGCTAAGCCGGGGCCATCGATGCCGCCGGGAAGACTGGCAAAACGCACAACACTGGAGGTGGAGGGAATGAAAACTTCCAAAGGACATCCAGTGTCCATATTGTCCAACTCACCAACGCACACAATCGCCTTCCACAAACCTATCATCGGAAAACCCAGCCTACGTTGCAGTACGTACGGAAGGAGCACAACAAAAACACATTCAAGGAAATCGAATTGTTAAAAAGGACGTAACAACAGACACCGGTACTGTGTTACGGTCTTACCGTACGATTCCCGGGGTCGGCATCGGGACGCGATGGCCTGTGCTTGACGGTTGGGAATTGCAGCCATAATCCCGGACGAGAGAGGCAAATCGACCGCCGGGGAGTTAAGAAAACCGTTTAAGAACATCAGGAAATATTTCTCCTGGGAAGCGGAACCGAGATACCCAACGCGAACAAACTGCAGCAAATCCGACAAGTGCACTTTCCGTCCGACTTGATCGTGCTCCACCCAGCGCATCACCGCTTCCAGCACGCCATCCTCTTTGTCCACGTGTAGATCGTCCGACGTTATCAGCTCAATCACCTACAGAGTGAGATAGATCGTAAATACTGACTGTATACTGCACCGTGTTCCTTTTCTGAGCACACAGCGCTTCATGGGGATTTCCTGCACACCTTTTCTGCCTCGATTGCCAGAAAGTCCGCGCTTCGGCAGACTTGGGCGAAACCGCGAAGCACCATGGCTTTGGCCTTAGCGGCCAATGGTGCGTTGTTAAGCTGCTCGGCCAAGCAGTGCACCATCAAACAACTGGAGATATCCATGTGCTTCTCCATATAATCCCAGCATGAAGTAGTGACGGGCACAATGTCCAGAAACAGGGCCGCTATCAGAATCGCCTGAACACTGTCTGCATCAATCTGGATTTCCAAAGTGTAGGCATAATTAACCAGCCTGGATAATGCACAATTAAGAACTCTAGCGTTACCTCTTCAGTATTTTGAAGACTGAAAACCTTACTTCGGAAATCTAAAGAAGTTACGTGATCATCATCGACTTACTCGTTGAGTGTACCCGCGGAGATGTTCTTCAATTTGATGGTGGATTCGGAGGATTCTCTAAGACCACTGGTGAACATGGTGCGGAAATAGGGGCTGCTGGCGCTGAGTACGTTACGATGGCACGGAATGCCAACTGATGACTCCTCCGCGCCTTGAAGCACAACATCGCACAGAGCCCCAGTGGCTTTCATATCGTTTAGTTCCCGAAGGACTTTCTCAGCCATGACATGGGAAGTTTCGATCGTGGTTCACTGAATGCTGGTCGACAACAAAAAGAAGCAGTATTACATACCTCTTGGGACGATAAGAACTCGTATAGAACCGAAATTAAGTAACCGAATGACGGAATGAACAACTAGCATTAAGCCTTTCAACTGCGAACCTTCCAAACTGCTGGTAAATTCAACACTGCTGGTAAATACTCTGTACGTACAACTTGGATAAACCGCAGAGCTGTACGACGGCGATAGCTCACTTGCACTGTCACTGCGCGTAGTACTAAACCATCTGCAGCAGCTGCTCAAAGTTCTGCGGTTGCCCAAAGACATGCAAAAGCAAACATAGACAGCAATGTTCGCATTTACGAATCAGCATTTACGCGCTGTATTATTGCATGTATTATTGCATATCAGCGTAACCGGAAAGAAATGTTCGGCCGATCCGGGAAGTCAGACGAATAAACCGGGACGACACTATTCCATCATTCATTCTTGTGAGTTCAAGACATCATTCTTGTGAGTTCTTGACGCGGTACATTAGGTTATGATTGTGCGAGTTTTCACACAACATCAACAGGAAACGCCCGCTTTTATTCTCTACGTGCTGGACTGGCTACAGTCAAACTAGCGGCGCTACTGTACCCACCCAATTCCGCGCTGCCCGACACTGCTGCACTCCCTTGCACAGATTGCAGTCCCCATTCAGTTCGAATTCCTCCGCTGGATTATACACCCTACTCCGCATAACGTTTCGATTATTCACACACCCATCGGAAGCCGAAGAGTGCCTCCCATCATAAACTTTATCACTACTTACTGGTTATTACCAGTACTACTTCCTGATAGGCGTGCCGGTCGACTAATCCCTTTCACAGGAGATTATGCAGGGCTGATGCGTGCCTGTCCCACCGTGGCCTTTTTAGCAAAGGTCACACCACTGCACTCTGTTTTTTAGCAGTAGCTTTCGTTGTGTGTTGGCTGGGCGGGTGCCATACTGGCAAAGTTTGCAGGCGGAGGGACTCGTGCTGAACTAGTTGTGGATGTAGTGCTAAGAGTTAACCATATGGAATCGTAGGTAGTCCTGGAAGATTTCAGCATGTTTCGAGCTACTTTTGCCGGCAATTTCGCGATGATTGATCACGCTTCTGTCTATGGTCGAAAACCGCTATGTACATTCCAATTAGATCCATGATTTCGGTACCTTGTTGTCGAGAGTGAAAAACTGCTTCGTGCTCTGTTTTGTGAGGGGAGTCGGCGTGTAATTTTCCCTAATTCTAACAAATTTCACCACCATCGCCTCACTTTGGCTAGGATTTTTGGGGGGTATTATGTAGATAAAAATTAGTATTAGTAGAAGACTGAGCGACATCGATCTGCGAAGTGCGAACACACAGCATGACTGCAATACCCCTTTGCAGCTTTGCCCATGCACACGGAAGAAACATTTATTGGTAAGGGACGAACACTCGACGAAAATTTCACAAACTTTTCCCGATTTCAGTAATTTTTTAAATGTTTCGAAGTCCTCAAATGTTTCCGTGTTCGCGTAACGCATAAACTTAATAGCGAATTTTTGGTATTCGTACCATGTATTCGTGTACCTCGGTCACTTCCTTTAATTTTACAGCTGCTACCCAAATTAAAAGGGCAATGACAAACCGATTCCATTGCCGAAAGGGATTATTGCTTGATTCCTTCTTGGTTTCCGTTTTATGCTTGTTGTTTTGAACGGAGGGAAGTAAGTGTACAGAATAAATATTCCACCATCTTCCAGTTTATTAAAGCAGGATTCTCTGTGCGAGACCGATCCCGCCTCCAAATCTGATTGGCTAGAACTAGCCTCACCTTTTTGATTGGCCGGATCTTACTGTACGGCTTTTGAGCTTTTATAGCCTCCTAAACATGGGCTTTTACGTGTTTGACTTACTAAGCTTTCGAAACTTAGTATCTGTACTAACTTCGACTAACTATCCAGATCAGACCGATCAACTAGATGCTTCCTCTAGCTTTGGTTCTGACTAAGTTTTCGAAACCTTAGTACCGTTTCAAATTCTACTTAATTCCAAATTTTACTTAATTAGCCGATTCCGTTAGATCTGGTGGAACTACCAAATTCGCCAGATGCCAGAACTATCAAAACGTGGCAGGTCACCTCGAACTTCCAGATCAACCATAACTACCAGATCAGCAAGAACTGTCAGAGCAGCCAGATCGGCCAAAACCAAGTAAAATTATCATTTCTCAGACCACTGAGCTTTAGAGAGTTTAGTAAGCCTCCAAGAATTTATTGACTATTATAACTAAGCTTCCAAAGCTTGGTAAACTAAGCTTTGGTTTTTTGGTGCGGTTTTGCAACCGTTAAGTGCGTGTGCGAGATTCACTGTTTTAGCTTTTGTAACTGAAGGGCGTGAGCGCCGGATGAAACTTTAGGCTTTGTAACTGAAAGGTGCGCGTGCGAGATTAACACTTTTAGGCTGTATAACTGAAAGGTGCGTGTGCCAGATTAAACCTTTTCGGCTTTGTAACTGAAAGGTGCGTGTGCGAGAACCATACTTATAGGCTGTATAACTGAGAGGTGCGTGTGCAGGATGAAACCTTTTCGGCTTTGTAACTGATAGGTGGGTGTGATTCCTACTTTTAGGCTGTGTAACTGGAAGTTGCGTAAGCCGGATGAAACCTTTTTGGCTTTTTAACTGAAAGGTGCGTGAGCCGAATGAAACGTTTTAGCATTGTAGCTGAAACATGCGTGTGCTGGACAAAACCTTTTCAGCTTTGTAGCTGAATGGTGGGTGTGCGATCCACAAGTTTAGGCTGTGTATCTAAAAGGTGCGTGTGCCGGACGAAAAGTTAAGGCTTTGTATCTGAAAAGTGCGTGTAATTCATATTTTAAGGCTGTGTAACTGGAAGTTGCGTAAGCCGGGTGAAACCTTTTTGGCTTCGTAACTGAAAAGTGCGTGTGCCAGATGTTACCATTTACGGTTTTGCAACCGAAATGTGCGTTTCCGGAATCCACTTTTTCAATCTTCCGCAGCTGAAGCCTTTCTGTGTGAACCTGGCCCCGGCTAAAACCCGTTCGGTTTTATTGAAATTTAGAAACTTGTTTACTTGGAATTGTTGCCTGACCGAAACAACCTTTGCGCTGCAGCGCGGCGCGGAAGCGCCGCGCGCTGTGCTTGTCCTCCAGTATATTAAAGCAGAACTCTCTGTTCGGAACACCGACCGCCTCCAAACCTTTCTGATTGGCCGGAATCAGCCTTGCTTTCCTGATTGGCCGGAACCAGTCTTTCGTTTCTGATTGGCCAAAACCGCATGTAACTTCTAAGCGTTCGCAGCCTTTCGAACTTATTGCTTTAACGACATGGTATTCACTAAGCTTTTCAAACCTTAGAACAGTACCGTAGCAAACTTTCCTTATTCAGCTCATTCTACCTGTACACCTAAGATTACCAAATCAGCCAAAACAAACTGATCAACCAGAACTACCAGATCAGCCAAAGCTAGCAGATCTGCCAGATAAGTTAGAACAACCAGATCATCCAGAACTACCAGATCACTTAGAACCAGTAGAAGTTTCGATTTCAAACTGACTAAGCTTTGGAAAACTTAGTAAAATTAGTAATTTTACTAGGTTTTTAAAGGTTTATTTCGATTACTAAGGAATGAATAGTAATCGTGCTGAGCTTTGGAAGGCTTACTCTGGTAAACGGTTTACCCAACCAGGATTTTTGTAACCGCGTGCGCGATTAACTTGTTTAGCTTTTGTATCCGAAAGGTGCGTGTGCCGGACAAAACCTTTTCGCTGAAAGCAGCCGAACGACTTTTTGGACTGGAAATCTTAAAAAAGCTGTAGCCTATACGCATTAGTCTTTACTAAGCTTTCGAAAGCTTAGTATCGGATTTGGCAGATCCCACCAAAGGCCACGGGTGCGGGGCCCACTGTATTAAGCTTTTATCACCCCAGAGGGTCTGTTAAGTTTTTTGTCAGTGAAGGCATTTCAAGCCTTTGGTCATTGAAGGCAGTTTAAGCTTCTGGTTACCGAAGGCCTTTTAAGCTTTTGGCCACCGAAGGCAATCCAAGCCTTTGATCACCGAATGCCTATTGAGCCTTTAGCCACCGAAGGCTTTTAAGCCATTGGTCAGCGAAGGCTACGCGTGCGGTACCCGCCTTATTAAGCCATTGGTCACCGTAGGCATTTTAAGCTTTCGGCCACCGAAGGCGTTTCAAGCCTTCGCTAACCAAAAGCCATTCAAGCCTTTGGTCAACTAATGCCTATAGGGCCTTTAGCCACCGAAGGCCTTTAAAGCCTTTGGTCACAGAAGGCCTTTTAAGATTTTGGTCACTGAAGGCATTTTAAGCCTTTGGTAATCGAAGCCTTTTGGGCCTATAGCCACCGGAAGCCTTTCAAACCTTTGTTACCGAAGGTTTTTTAAGCCTCTGGTCCCCGAAGACCACGCGTGCGGTACCTACTTTTTAAACTTTTGGTAACCAAGGCTTTTTGAGGCTTCGGTCACCCATGGCCTTTTAGGCCTTTGGTCATCAAAGGCCACGCTTGCGGTACCTTCACTTTTAAGCCGTTTGAAAGCGTGGGCCTCGTTAGCGCGGCGCGTAAGCGCCGCGCATCCTGCTTGTCCTATATATTAAAGCAGAACCGTTATTCCGGAACGCTCCTGCTTCCAAAACGTTCTGATTGGCCAGAACCAGCCGAACCTTTCTGATTGGCCAGAACCCGCCTAGCGGCTTTTAAGCTTTTGCAGCCACTTAAACCTGTGCTTTTGCGCGTTTGTCGTTACCAGGTTTCCGAAACTTAGTACCTTCACCTGTGAAAACCTTCGCCTGATAAACCGGATCCCAGCTTCAGCATTTCTTCTTACTAAGCTTCCAAACATTAGTTCTTTAAGAAACCTGATAACTTTAATTTACTAACCGGTACCGTCTTTTTAGCCTTCAATTACCTTGCAGTACCACCTTTTAAGCCTTTAGTAACCGAAAGTCCCGCGTGCGGTACGCGCCCTTTTAAGCCTTTGGTCATGAAAGGCCGCGCGTGTGGTACCCGCCCATTTGAGCTTTTGGTCACGAAAGGCTGCGCGTGTACCCGCCTTTTTAAGCCTTTGATCACCGAAGGCCGCGCGTGTGGTACCCGCCCATTTGAGCTTTTGGTCACGAAAGGCTACGCGTGTACCCGCCTTTTTAAGCCTTTGATCACCGAAGGCCACGCGTGCGGTACCCGCCTTTTTGAACCTTTGGTCACCGAAGGCCACGCGTGCGGTACCCGCCCATTTGAGCTTTTGGTCACGAAAGGCTACGCGTGTA